TGTAGAATAATGCTTTGTCTGTGTATATATATATATATATAAAACTGAATACCTGCATTATATGTGTATATATAGATAATTTATTGGAAAGATAAACTTTATGGGGTATAAATATTTTCTTTTTTCTTTCTACTTTTTTTTCTGCGTTTTGTATCGTGCGGAAAAATGGATAGTATCATTAAATTAGATAACGTGTGCCTAGGTACCAACATATATATATACATATGAATGGTTATCACTACAACGAGTGTATAGGACAAATAAAATTTAAGCAAACTTGGGTTTTCGTACCGCAGGGTCGTAATGAACAGGTGCTACGTCATATTGTCGAAAACCACACCTGTGACCTTGTTTTCAAAATCTAGCATATTCCAAACTTTGATGTGACTTTATGGTATGTATGGAATTCAAAATTTCAATATCACATAACTTCCATATATCCACGGTCCAACGAACTTGAAAATAGTATGTACAATCTATGTAAATTGTCGACAAAATCAATTCGTGAATATGATTTAAAAATTTCCTTGCAAACTGTCACGTGTAAATAAACAATTTATACTTTTGAATTATTTACCCAAAATTGTTATGCGCCATATGTTTAATATTTTTGCTATATTCAATTTTGAGAAAGAAAATTTACTGTAGGAAAATTTATTTTTACATTCAACAATAGTTTTTTCTAAACACTGTTATATTTAGTCGTTAGTAACTAGCAAACAATTTCAACAAAATTTTTTAATTTTAAATAAAACGAAAATGGAAGAAATAAAAAATTCCAAGTACAGGGTATTTTGATGAAGAAAATGAAGAGAAATGAAAACAAAGGTGTCGCTTACACTAATTAGTTATTTTCGAGAGTTGATCAGCGACAGTGATTTGGAAAACATTTCAGTGAGATCATTTGCACCCGTCCGATTAGACTTTCGGCACTTGGCCAAATTTTACGCCAATGAGGGGAGAGTAAAATGAAAGGTTTTCGTCAAATAAGCTTAACCAGGATTAACGATGAATCACGAAGCTGAGTAATGCTTTATATATAGGGATTGCAATAACAGCATTGAGATATCAAAGCTACTAATTACAAACGTTTCAGACAATATTTCAAATTTAATTAACAAATGTGTCAAATTATATTTACTTTTTAATCAATATTGTCCTTGGAAAAAATAATAGTTAACTTATATCTATATTCATAAAATAATTCAGACAAAATACAATGTTTTTTTTTGTATCAGTAGTAAAGACTAATATTAATCAAACAATAATTTTAGAAACATTATTCTTGAAATAAGTAGTAAAAATATTTTTAATCAGACAAAACACATTATAGTTTTTAACACTATTACAGACAAGTTTAAGCCAGTATTTAGTGTGATAGAATTTTATTTCTAAAATCAGTAGTAAAATAAAGTTTCAGTCAGGCAGAATAACATTTTTTTTTAATTTAGTAGTAGAAATTGGTTTTAGTCAGCCTTGGATATCATGAAACATTATTCTTAAGTTAAGTAGTGGAATATAATTTCAGTCAGACAGAACACAATATTTTTTTATATCAGAAATAAAATCTACTCTCCATTTGAATTAGTAAAAATGCTTCCTAATTTGAATTAATGACTGACTTTTTTGCTATTGAATTAGTAAATTTTACTAATAAATAGCAATTTCTGATGATTTGTTGGTAAAATTCACTAATTCAAAAGCAAAAAGTCAGTCACTAAATCAAATTATTAAACATTTTTATTAATTCAAATTTTGAGAGTGAATTATTATACTCAGACTTGAATATCAAGAAAAATTATTTTTTAAATAGGTCTGCAAGTAGTAATAACAGTTTTAGTCAGACCAAATGATAATGAATTGTAATAATCATACAATTAGAAGTGAGATATAATTTCAGTCGCAGACAAAACGAAATAGTTTTTGTGTCAGTAGTAAAATTTAGTTTTAGTCAGACTTTAATGTAAAACAACTATTATTCATAAAATCAGTAGTAGAATGTAATTTCAGTCGTACAGAAAAAATACGAATTTGTGCCAGTAATAAAGATCAGTTTAATAAAGCCTTAAATATCAGGAATTATTATATTCAAAATCAGTAGTAAAATATAGTTCCAGTCAGACAGAAAAGAATGTTTTTTTATATCAGTAGTAAAGCTGGATTCTAGTCAGACTTAAATATCAATAAACAGTTTTTTTGAAAACAGTAGTAAAATATAATTCCAGTCAGACAAAATAAATAAATTACAATCAGATGGAACTTTTGCAATCATTATGCTTAAAAATCAGTAGTAGACTATATTTTCAGTCAGACATAACACTATTTTTGTATCAGTAGTAACAACAAATTTTAGTCAGACTTCAATATAAAAAAAATTATTCTTAAAATCAGTAGTAGAATATTATTTCAGTCAGACTGAACGCAATTTTTGTATCAATAGTAAAAATTAGTTTTTGTCAGCGTTGAATATCAAGAATTATTATTTTTGAAATTAGTAGTAAAATATAATTTTAGTCAGACAAAATACTATATGTTTTGTGTCAATAGTAAAAACTCTTTTTTATTGACAAAAAGTTTCAAGAACATTATTCTTAAAATCAGTAGTAAAATATAGTTTTAGTCAGACATGTTACAATTTTCTTTAATATTAGTAGTAAAAACTGGATTTTAGTCAGCCTTGAATTTCAAGAAACAATATTAATAAAATTAGTAATGAAATATAATTTCAGTGAGACAAAATGCTATGTGTTTTGTGTCAGTAGTAAAAAGTAGTTTTTATCAGTCAAAAATTTTTAAAAAATATTATTCCTAAAATCAGTAGTGGAATATATTTTTAGTCAGACAAACACATTATTTTTTTATTAGTACTAAAAACTAGTTCTACAGTGACAAAACTTTTCAGAATGTATTATTTTTACAATCAGTAGTATAATCCACTGTCAGTCAGACAGAATCCCACATTCTTTATTGTAAGTATTAAAACCTAATTTGTTCTAGACAAAGAATTCAGAACAATTTTTTTTAAATCAGTAGTAAATTTTAATTTCAGTCAGACAGAACTCTTATTAATAAATCTATCTGTAACAATATCAGATTATTTAGTCTATTGCTTGAAACATTAAAATATTTATTTTTAAACATTTATAAAATGATTCAATCAGTCTATTTTTTAAAAAAGAGAATATAAAAATATTTTTTCAAATTCTCTCAAATTATTTATATTTTAATCAAAAATCGATAATTTTTTTTTTCAACATTTCTTATGAACCAATTTCAATAACTAGTGATGCAAGTCGGACAAATAAATGTCATTTGTTTTTTCGTCTACTTTCATAAAAGAAGTGAGATAAAACGATAAAACTCAATTTGTTTTAATTGTTATTTTGACGATATGCTCAACTTTATCGAAAATTTATCGATCGATAATCGATTAACATGCAAAACAATTGTCAAAAACTGTCACCTTTTTGAAAAAAAATTCACATTATTTACATTCTTCTCTAAAAAAAAAATTCTCCTAATTTAACGTTCCCAATTTTCTTTTTTTTTTTTAAATTTTTAATTAACGAAATATTTTGTCAATAATGTAGAATTCTAAGAGAATAGAGAAAATTGAAATTTTTTTTCTATGAACAACTGTAAAAATAAATACCTACCATTCTTTTATTGAGGGATTTATTAAAGAAATTTTCGATTTTAAAATAAATAAGACATTTTTTTTGGAAAAGGTTTCAAATAAAGGTGAAAAGAAAAATGAGAAGAGACACAAAGAGGGAGAAAGTTTCATTAAAGAAAGAGAAATAGCTTCGTTAGAAGAAGAATTGTAATTTGCAATAAATAAAAATCGAATTGAAAACCATATCGTTTACATTTAGGGGGGAGGGGGTTCACAAGGATCGATTTCTTCACCCCCTTCTTTTTTTTACAATTCCCTCCCCGCATATCCGCTTCGGCAGTATAGAAAATGTCCGTGGTTTCTGCACGAATGAAGCAATCCGAAATGGAAATATTTTAAATCATTCGTTCGCCGAGGATTATTCATGGCTATGAATTCGAACCAATTTATTTTTATGTCAGTTCCGCTGATGGTAAAGAGTTGCGAATAATCTCCGTTGAGAATAATTCCCAATTTTTTTTTTTTTTTTTTCATTTTTATTTTATTTTTCTGGTGCAAAAATGAGTTATTTGAATCTGCTTCGAACTAGAGAGACAACTCAATCGTTGAATATCGTATAAAGAATATTCTTTTCTTTGCAACTCTTTTTTTTTCTTCGATACTTCTTTTTAATTTCTGTAAATTATTCATCTAAATTTTTTTAGAAACTTTTTTTTTAAATACTAAAGGAGAATTATACTTATATAAATGAAATAAAGAAAAGGAAAAATTTAAAAAAATGTTAAAATCTTAAAATAAGAAGTTACATTGGAAATAAAAGAAATTAAAGACGATAAATGAAATAATCGAGAAAAAAAATTTTTTTGTCAGATTGTGAAAAAAAAAGAAAGGCGTGTGTTCAACTCGTTAGAAAAGTTTGCTTTAACAGAAGATAATTGAGGAATTAACTAGACGTTGAAGATGAGTTGACGGTTTCACTGAATTCTCATCCGATAAGAAAGAGACACTTCCAATTATTCTCGACTTTTCACTTCAATTTTTATTCTTTGAATTATAATGAGATAAATTCTAACTGTCACTCACAAACTCAAATACATTGAACTAAATTTTATAAATCCTACATCATTTTATTAAATAATCCTTCTATCTTTTTTCTTCAATATGATTCAATTTTGAAAAGAATTGAATCAAATTTTCAAATTAGTGACAAATTTTTACTCGTGTAAATTTAAAACAATTTCTCATCTCTAATAGAATTTTGTCGTATTAATTTATTGGTAATTTAATTTTTCTTTAAAGTGATTTTTTTTTCTTCTTTTTTTTATCTTCATAAACTCATAAATCTTTAGAACGTTAAATAATTAAAAAATTTATCGGTTTTCAGAGTTGGAGAGCCTGGCGACTGGGACGAGCAAAATTGGATAAAAACTCCAGACGACAACACAACCTACACCATAAAAAATTTAACGCCCTACACTGTTTATAGTTTTCGAGTATCAGCCGTCAACGCAAAAGGTCGCAGCAAACCAAGTCGTGAGACTTACTACATATTCACCCTGCGTGAAGGTTAGTAGAAAATTTTATGTCTTTTGAAAAATTATAAAAAAAAAATCTTCCACATGCAAAACTAACTCTGTTATTTAATAATCAAGTTGGTTTTTATTATTTTCATGTTTAAAAAAAATTTTTTTTTCTTTAACAATTTTCCAGTTTGCAAGTTTTTATTTTTGTAGAAAATAATTTTTTTTTACTCATTATCGTAAAATGTGTTAAAAACATTGAGTAAAATGTGTTTAAAAAAAAATGAATTAAAAAGTAAATTCTTTGAAGAAAATACGATATTAATGTATATATAGGTAAAAAGAAGTGATGAATATGCGAGATGTAAATTTTTTTTTCTCTTTTACCAGAGCATTAATAATCAAAAGACGTTTTTGCGCACGACTTCAGTTATATAGGAAGGTGTTTCCGTTTTAATTTGACTTGCGGTTTAAAAAGGGCTTCTTACACAATATATGTTATATAGAAAAGGTGCACTAATTGCAATGAATGCAAAAAAAGAGTTCCAGATCACGTTTAACTCGACGAGCGGTACACTTGAATCTAACTCGTCAAAAGTGGGTTAAGATAGTCACTGAGGATGAGTTTTTTTTTCCTCCTTATTATTACTTCGCTTTTAAAATAGCATTTCTGCGAAAATTTTTACAAGAGATTCATTTTTTTTTCTTCATTTCGTTGAAAAATTTAAATGAAAATTAATTAAAGTGATTTACATTATGTAAAAGAAAATTGACATTATAATTATTTTAATTTTTTATTATCATTATTATGGTAAAAAATAATTTTGATCAGACTTGCGGTATTTTATTATTCATAACTTGAGAATAAATAGAAAATGGAATTTTTTATTTTTATCTGAATCCAATGGTCTTTCGACTTTTTTACAGTATATCAGAAATCGATTTTAGTCAGTCTTGAAAATATTCTTAAAATAAGTAGTAGAATATAATTTCAATCAGACAGGAAATAATATTTTTTGAAAAAAGTGGTTTTGGTCAGACAAAAATTTCAGGAAATATTATTCTCAGAATCAGTAGGTACTAGAACAGAGTTTCAGTCAGACAAAAAAATTATTTTTGTATCAGTTATAAAAACAACTTTCAATCAGACTTGACAAGGAAAAAATTCAACTAATTGTCCACTAATAAGAGACAATTTTCGTCAGAAATTTTATACATTTATTTATATAATTCCAAGAAAAAGTTTTTAGCTAGAACAAATAAAAAGTAAAAAATAGAGTTTTAGACAAAATTCGACTGAAATTATTAAGTTGAAAATTTCCAATTTTATACAATGAGCAATTCTCTAAATATCTATAATTATCACCGTTAAAGAAACACCTGTCTCTCCTTTTGAAAATCTGTCTCGGAATTAATGCAACTTAATCAGAACTTTCTAATTATTTACAAAGTTTTTCATAAAACATTTCTGATGGCATGGCACAGAGAAAGAGAGAGAGAGAGAGAGAGAGGAGAAAAAGAGGGGTGAATACAGAAAATTCTACTGCAAGTTTTAAGTTACGTTCTCATGAAAACTTGAAAGTTCGTTCGAGAGTAATTACATAGTCCTTAATGGAAATTGAAATGAAAGATCATAAAAATTTCATAAATGGTAAAATTCCGTACCCTTCATTCAGTTATATAATCTCTGAATCAAATCACATTAAAAAATATAATGTATTTAATTATTCATTCATTTTCGTTGAATTCATGACATAATTATTCACTGAATTTTTATTTTCGGAAAATTTATTTTTATAAGTGCTCTAGTTATCGTCGCACTGTATTAGTTAACTTCAATTTTGCGAAAAACCTTTTTTTTTAAATTTACCTGAAGAAGCATTTTCAGAACTATTTTTTATTGATACTAGAGTAGAATGGAGTAAAAAGCCATTGGGTTTTATATTAAAACAATATAATCATTATTATTATTATTATTAATATTAATAATAATAATAATGAGTATAATAGTAATAATTAATTAGGAGCTAAAGAAAATAAAAAAATATGTATAAAATAACATGGAAAGAAGTAACGTAAAAACAAGAAGACTGGAAAAAAATGTAGAGCTTCATTGTTAAATTAATTGCTACATAATAAACACGAATATCTCGTGTTACATTACAGAGTCGAGTAATTATGGTTATATACAAGGAGCTACTGATAATTAGTGCAGCGTTTCATGCGGAGGCATGGTGTGTGTCACAGAAACTCCAAGATAATTAATAGTTTCTTTATTCTTCATCAACTGTGGAGACACACGTCATGGTATTATCCTGAGCCATACACATACTCTTTGATTAAATAGACGGATTTGTCTCTCAGCAATATATACATGGAATTATTTCATGTTAAATAATTACTAGGATAGAACAATTATTTTTCTATTAAACGAAATTAAAAAAAAAAGAACGTAATTAATTAAAAATTTTATTTAATCGAAAATGTTTTATTTTTTCAATATTGATTACTGAAAAATATTATTTACTAAAAAATAAATATTTAATACTGAACAATATTTTTCATTTAAATTTTAAAATATATAAATAAATACAACAAACAACTTTGGAATTAAATTTATTTTCGGATAACCGAATGGATTTTAAGAATTAAAAAAAAGCGAATTTTGAAATTAAAATAACTTTGTTATTTGAATCAACAAAAATTGTTTTATATTCTAACAAATAAAATAAGTTAATTAAAAAAATTCCACTTTATCAGTCGGGAAAAATGTGTCTATTTGTTATAATTTTGATAGTAAAGAGTACAAATTATCTTCAGTCAGGCAAAATTTTAAAATCCACAAAATTAAAAAAAAAAAGAAATAAATTCTGTTTAATCGCAAAAAAATATTTGATTTTTCTAATATGAATATTTTACATCTAGATCCTTTTTATCGTTTTATTCAGGCAAAATTAAAATAAAATACTATTAACAACTTAACAATGAACAAATAAGAAAATATAACAGAAAATGTTCTTAAAATTAGTAGTAAAATATAGTTTTAGTCAGACAGAATACAAGATTTTTTTATGTGATCAGTGCAAACTACTTTTTGTCAGTTATATTCGTCTTACTTTTTTTCGAAATTTTTCCCAAAATACGATTTCCCAGATGATATTTTTTTCCAAAATTAAATTTCCCAAACAATAGTAGTTTCCAAAGGACATTTTTTCCAAAATCATATTTTTCCAAATTACATATTTGTGCAAGTATTTTTCTGCGGAGTGAATGTGTTCAATGAACAATTGCAAATCGGTTAAAATAGTTTCCGTCAGAAACTTTCTGTATTACAAACATTCTGGTTTAATTATTTTCAAAAATAATAAAAATTTTACAGAAATCCAATTATTTAAATTCTTTTCAAAAAATTTTTCGTAATAATTCAATTTATTTTCATAAAGGAGTTTACCCAGGAATTCAATTATTTTCGTAAATTATAAAATTCTGCTTTAGAATCGAATTATTTTCACAAATAAGAAAACTCATCGCAGAATATCAATTATTTTTAATACAATTTTAATTCAATTGCCTGAAAAATGTAATTATTTTTTAAAAATTTTATTAATATTCGTTGAAAGAATTTAATTATTGGAAAATTTGTTGATAAAATTCTTTATAAGAATTGAATTTTAAGAAACATTGAATTATTCAATAAATTTTTTATTTTTCTATTTGAATAATTGAATTCTAATAGAATTTTTCAATAAAAATTGATTTAAAAATGAATTTCAGTTAAAATTTTAGATAATAACTGAATATTAGAAGCTTCATAGAATGAGTTTTTAGAAATAATTAAATTTTGAAAATATTAATTTTAATTAACAATTCTTTACAATTTATTTTCTTGACAAAGTTTGATGGAAATTTTTTTGAAATTATTTCTAGTTTTTATTCACTAATATAGGGTAAATGCACTAGTAGTCGGACACTTAAGGATACGATCTTATATTATGCTTTTTTTCTTGAAATAACAAATATCTACTGTGTTTATAAGCACATTATCAATTAAAGGAGTTCTTTAGGATTAAAAATCATATAAATTTGTTACAAATACTTGAGTATTTAATAAAATATAAGCATTTTAATAAAAAATTACGAATGCTTTAGTAGTCGGACACTTTTTCCCCTTGTTTCTATAGTCGGACATCTGTCAAATATTTTGGATTTATAAAGTAAAAAAGATAATTTTTTAATTGCTATCTGCTGGAAAATCGAATTAAAGCATATTAGAAGTTATTAATATAATATTTAAATCCTATAAGTTTTAATATTTATGATTAATTATCAACAAAACTTTGTGCCACTCATCGCGCTACTCGAAAATGGCTGTATCTATAGTCGGACACCATGATTTTTAAAATATTAAATAAAATATTTCTTGTTTAATTATTTTGTAAAATAACAGTATTTTCATAAAAGATAAACTTCACACATTCGTCCAGTATACTTTTTAAAGTAATTATCACAATGCATTATTATTTATTTGCCAAAAAACACGAAAGTGTCCGACTACTAGTACTGTCCGACTATACCCGCACTTACCCTATTTAATTAAAGAATTTCCGAATAATCGAAATTACGTAAAATTAATTAATAATGATTAATAATAATAATTAATGAATTAATAAAATTTTGCATACAAATGAATTTTAAAATTCTCAAATAACTTTTTCAAAAATTATTAAAAATAATTTATTTAAAGAAGAATATTGTTCTCACGAACAATTTTATTCTGTGAAAAAAAAATTTTTGGGAAAAAAGTACTTTGGGAGAGACTTTTCTTTGGGAATACGATTTTTTGAGAAAAATGTCTGTTGGGAAAAAGTGTCCCCCTACCAATAATTGTAAAAAACATTTTTAGTCAATCAAACAAGTTGAAAATCGTTTTTCAAAATCTATTGAGTAGTACAAACATTATTTTAGTCAGACATTGAGTTTAAAACTATCTTTAGTCAAAGAACATGTTTTACTAAATACAATTTTTTACTAAACCAAATGTTTTAC